TTTGGCGTTGGAGTGTTTTCTAGACTTAAAAGAGACATTCCCCACAAAATGCAAAACAAGTTCCCTTCCAGAAATCCGAACCCTTCATAGCATGCCCGCGAAGCAAGACCATTACCACTACACCATGCCGCCGTTGATCGTAATGGTGCTTCCCGGCTATTCATGCGAATGGCCGGCAACCGCGCTCGACTCTGTTTCCTTCATTTTAATTCTAACAAACCTTCATAATTCCGTTCAGAGAATCGTTCTGCAAATTTCGAAGGCAGATTCGAGATCAGCGTCCAAAACCACGTCTAGTGAGCTACATCTCATTACAAATGGCCACTTCGACCTGACGACCTTCCCTAGTTAGCTAAGAAAGCCCTGAGGAGGCGGGACAGGTAGCGTCGTAGGAGTCTATGTCAGGAGAACATGGTGAGCGGGTATAGTCTTCCAACCTTGTTGCTCTATTATTCAATAGGTCTCCATAGCAGTAGCTGAGCAGCACATACGGTAGCGGTGACCGTGTGTTCTCACAGGAGCAGCTCGTTGAGCAGCATTCCCCTCCGTCTCAGAAGCAGCACAGAAGAACTTCTTAGAGTGCATGTCCGGTTTTGGCCTGCAAATATGGGTCTTCTGAAACGAGGACAGAGAGGGAGACTAACCAAGGGGACCTGTGTGCACAGCGCACCATCCGTCATGGTATGAGTGATCCATCCAGCCAGTACTTTTCGATACCCGAGAGCTTAAAAGCTGTTGAAAACTGTGCGGAGGCGTCCCAACCGAGGTTTGTCTTCGAGGATCGTGTCTCCTTTCGCGAAGCGAGCGAACCAACGGTGGACAGTCCTGATGGTAGTGGTGTCCTCCCCAATGCACAGTTGATGTTGCGGACAGCTGCCGTCGCTCCAGTGCCGCGGAGCCTCTCATAGAAGATGATCTCTAAGCCGCTCTTGTGAAACTGAAATCGTAATTGAACGCGAGGAAAAGCAGATGCCTTCAAATGTCCCTTACGGAAAGCTTCGAGGGTGTTCTACGGGATAGCATGTTACATCATGTTCAGACTACAAGCATCGAAAGCTGTAAACTATTCAAAAAACAACGGCATGACTTTCTTTCCAGCCTGATAGTGGTAACATTATGATCTCAACAATGACTGTTTGTTTCATATAGCTTGAAGTTCCGGTCCAATACTGGTTGCGATAATAATTGTGAGGAATTAAATTCCCTTTTTTTCAGCATCCTCCTATGATACCGCAAATGGCTTTTCCTCTCCCTGCCGTGGTGCCACAGCCAACATCTGTCACCATGGTGCCACAGCCAGCACCTGTCGTACCTCGCGTGAGTCTGATCCATTCCTTTGAATCTATTTCTAGAATCATACTGGTTTTCTGGAACACTTTCCTCTGTATAATCGATAATCTAATTGTAAACAATAGAACTGCAAAACACCCAGCACTTCGGATACAGGTGAATAAGTGGAGACGGAAGAAGTGATAATTTTCAATCTAAAAAGAACGAAAATTTAAGATGAAAGACGAGCACCATCGAATGGAAGTTCAAACCTTCACCTTGAATATTAACAGAATATCGTGTTTGTTAAGCATGAAAGCTTAACGCGTTGACGGTGGCTGACGGCAGTCTGTCTCGTGGGACGATGGCAGACAATGGTGTCTGCCACTACTTTTTATAATAAAGATGTACGAACAGCCACATTCGCTGGGAACGTATCCCTAGAGGTAGCTTGTCCTTTGAAACAAATACCATAGCAGCTTGGCACGAACTGCCTTGCGCCCGCGCACAGGCGCCGGCGCCAAAATAACATAAATCACCAAATTCGCTGAAAACCTGTCTCCTGGGGCAGCTTGACCCCTCAAACACGAATATCACAATCGCTTGCCACGAAACTGCCTGGCGCCCGCGAAACAGGCGCCGGCGCCAAAATGTCCTAGATCATCAAATTCCCTGAAAACTTGTCCCTACCGGTAGTTCGACCCCCTGAACAAGAATATCATGTCCACTTAACGCGCTGACGACGATTTCCGTCAATGGTGAACGACAACAACTCAAAATTTGCGCGATTGCTTCACAATTCTTTTCATAAAATTAGTTCAAGAACAAACATTTTCGGGTCGAGGGATGCGATATTGTTCTTTAGGAGATCAAACCACCCCGGGAGACAAATTTTCAGTCAATTCTGCCTCCAGAGGAAGAAGTTGGTAAAAATGGCCTGATTTTGGAAGATTGGAGCAATAAGAGCTAAATTGTGTCAGATTCGAGATTGCTATACTCGTCTCTTGCATTTCTCGATACATTTTGGTCGTAGTAATTCATTTATTTGGAAATTACTAAGTTTCAATGTAGAAAAATGTGCCTACGAAGCAAGCACCTGAACATCTCATTCAGAGGTTATTTTGTTCAAAATCTACAGACAGGTCCTCATAGCGTGCATGTCCGTTTGGGTTGGTCCACGTTAGAAAAGCGCGGCAAACGCTGAGTGGCGCCTTTTCCAACCGTTATAGCGCACGGGGTGCCACTTGCCGACCCGAACCTCTACCGCCGTCTGACCATAAACGCCGTCTGTCCATAAACAGGCGGACAGTTCCATCGACGCTGATACTCTTATCACTTCGTTCATGAAGTAAAATTGATATGAAGCGTTGCTACATGGATATATGAATACATACGTGCAGCCGTATCAAAGGGATCGTTGGCACGATGGCAACGGGAAACTCGTCCAAAAGTGCTTGTCCAATGCCGTGCAGAACAAAGCCTTTTTGCAGGTTTTATTGATTTTTTATTACACGCACGAGATGGACATGTGAATAATTCAAACAGTGAACAACGGAAAACCGGGAGATTCCAACAGAAGAAGAAACGACCATAAGGCCATAACTAAGAGATTATTTGGTAAAACGACAAGCGAAGAAGAAAGCACCAGTAATGAAATAAGTGAGAAAGAGGAAAACAACAACAAGCATAGACAACTAGCTGATGTCCTTCAGACAATGGAAAAGTTTTCGTCTGAAAGAGGAATAACTAACAAAAACAGGTGAAGGAACGTGTTTGCTAAACAGCAAACTCGCTGCCAGCACGTTGAGTAAAAAAGTGACTAGGAACCGAACTCAGGTCTTACTGAAGCGCAGCTTGATAGTCTCATCTCTAACAGACGGAGCAGAGAAAGAAAAGAATTGAGTGGCTGCAAAAAGCATGGTACCCTGCCTGATTTTGTATACAGTTATTAAAGACAGCTCCCGCGATAAAAGTCTCATGGATAGCTGCTTTCCAATTATGAAACAGTAGCTGATAAGTAATCTCCCAAAGAAGAAAACAGGCAAGAAGCGTCCTCCAGAACAACATAAACAAAATCGCTCCCTCACAGTCACACCTCCCTGCGGTCTCTGTGCAACCCCTAGCTCACAAATCTATCACATCTCGCAGTAGTTGATATCATCCAGTGCAAAAAAAAGAATACAAAAAGAAAACAACAAAAACGCAGAGGAAAAACTCTTGGAAGGAAAAAGGAATTTTATCAACGCGGTGTCTGAATTTGGGATTACGGTAGCGCACGTTTTGTGCGTCGAGGTTTTGCATCACGAAAATTGCGTCACTCGTGCTTTTTACGCGTTTCACCTCGCGAAATGAGTTGAATTGAATGTATATACCTCCAATGAGTAAACTGTAATAAAGGGGAGCAGAATTATCCATGGGCATTAGCAATGCCCGCCGCCCCACTAAGAACAACTGAGTGGCCTCCGTCGGAGGACATCTAGCAAGTAAGGCGGTCCAACTGAGCAGGCGTTAGAACTAGAACTTACAGCGGCTGTAGCTCGCTTCTCGCTCGCTGTGCAGACGAATAGAGTGGGACAGTCTCTAGCTTGGGGGCTGTACTACTTGCACAAGGAAGGACGACCATGTACTACTCGAGCGCGGGGGCTGTCTTTAAATCATTTCTCATCCTACGCTTTTTAAGAGAATCCAAACTTGAAATTTTATTTCTAACAGTGGCATGAGAAATATATGTAGGAATAACCCAAAGCCGTTATGGAAACCTTCCTGGTAAACTGTTTTGCACGCGTCTGAATAGCATTTTTCATGAGGAAAAAATACACCCTTCCATATTCCAGAACAGGTCTGACATACATTTTGCAGGCCGTGATCAGAACAAGGGGATCTCTGCTTCTTCAAAATCTTAGTAAGAAAAACAAAAAACAGCCTCGGTTTATCCTTAACAGCCAACTGGAGGCAGTGAGGTCCATAATCGAGGCTATTAAGTATTAACTATTAAACCAAGGTCTCTGGTTTCAGAGACGGACTGAATAGGTAAAACGGATAAAATACTTATTGTTAGGATTGCCCTTACCTAAATGCAAAGCTTTGTCCTTCGTAAGGCTAATAGGGAGACCCAAGTCACAGACCACTCACATACTATACCAGCGGCATTCTGAATTGGAAGGAAAGTTGTTTGAGGGACTTGAACAGGCTTGTAAGCGTTGACATCATCGGCAAGTATCTGGCAGGTAACTGCAACATTCTCGAGCAAAGAGGGAATGTCAAAGTTGTAGATGTTTGAAAGGAAAGGAGACAATACACCACCCTGAGGTGCACCACTCGTACAATGTTTTACCGAGGAAAAAGATTTATCAATCCTGTTTTGAGAAGTGCGGCCAGATAGTGATTCAGTCTACTGAATAATCCTAAGATGGATACCCACATGCTGTAAGTTATACAGCGATCTATCGCGATAGACTATCAACGCTTTTTTTTGACTGTTTAACTTCGTTTTTCGTTAGTTTACCGCTATGTCACACCCTTGCTACTATTTCAGAGCAAGTACCAAATTACCGTGTCTTAGCAGGCCCCTTGCCTGCTCCTGACCAGCAGAAATTGGTGTCACCGTTTGCTCTCGGATCAGTTGTCACTATTATCGAGAGGGGTTCAGTAAGAAACACTAATAAGCATCCAAAAGGGTAAGGGATAAAGTCTTCGCCGTTGATCAATCCCTTTGTGGGATGCGGCACGCATTCTACTTCCATTCAGAATCGTAGTGGCTTATTGAATGCGATGTGGCCTATACAATGACTTGCGGTGGCCAGCCGATGTACAAGTCAGTGTTTTATCCTCCCAGACGAATCTGGTACCAATTTACCGTCCCCGGAGGGTAGAAGGCTTGGTTGGCCTGGGCGGGAGTCGACCCGGGATTTGAACCCGGGACGCGCGAGTGGTAAGCGCGCCACTTGTCACTACACCACCTCCGCCCAAGAATAATTAAAAGTAATCGAAATCATTAGCTTCTCATCAGACTTGCAGTCTTATATGCTTTGAAGCAGCTATGACCATTGAGCAGACTTCTTGTATTGTGGTGCTCTTGTTCCAAAGGTACAAAGGCATCGCAGGAACAGGGTTGCTCAGAATACTACAGAATGCTACTTTTAGATTGGTAAGGGAATCCTTCAACACTTTGAGCATGTTGTTGGAAAAACCCAAAAACTTCCAAATATCCTTTCCTCTGAGTATTGTATTGCTTTTGAAGGTTTCAGTGCTACAGTGGCTTTGCGCAAGCTTTTAAAGCCCGAAGTTTATGGTTAATGTTCCTTTGACGCATCTCCTGCCGGACCACACTGCTGGAGCCGAGAAAGCTGAAACTGCGTTTCATCCAGGGAAGGGTGTGGTTTCTCTGCCACCGCTTCTTTTTAGTACCAGCGCTTGGGGGCTGGAGATACTTCTGATACATAGTAGGCAAGTATTAATGAGTCACACTCGAAACTTGGCCTTAACTCTGGGCTGAACCTGCCGGACCGCTAATAAGAATCTGAACGATCTGAGTTGTTGGGAAACATTTTTTTTTGTTCCTGTCTGAAAATTAGCGCTGAATAGTCTGATTCTCTTGTCTCACCCTGGAAGGATCTGGCAGATGTAGTGGAGTAAGGTCTAGCTATGAGCTGTGAGCTAGGTCAGACAACTTTTTACGTTTGCTGCACAGGATCCTTCAAAAACAAAACCGTCTGCGCTACCACCTATGACGGACTCTGAAAGGTCATCCACAACACGAAGATTCGAAGATCGACAACTTCTTCCCATCACAGTCGCTATCCTAGATATTGACGTGATGTGATCGTTCTTTTGGTTCATGATCTCGCTCTTCCGACAGTGAAGCTTGTCTAGGATTTTGTTCATGGTGTTGCACTTTTTTCCAACTGAAAATCTTGTGTCCCTCTCAAATGGCTTGCGTTTTTCACGTTCATGTTTTCCGATTTGCGGAAATGGTTAGTGGCAAGCTTACTGGTACATCAGGTGGTCCCTGCAAGACATTCTACAGGAGGCCAAATTGCGCTTGACGTGCCTCTGCTATGCTAGGTGGAAATAGAATACGCTGCGCAATAAACGATTTATCAAAGCCAGAAGCTTTATAATTTGTCAGTTACGTCTTTCTGAGGAATTTCCGCTTCAACCTA